CCCGGGCCCTTGCTTGCCGCGTATCAGCATCCGCTGCAGCTTTCACTAGCGTCTCTCTCCCCTGTGCATCCCTCACTGTCTTCTGCCCCTGCACCTGCACCTGCACCTGACCATGCACCTGCCCCTGCCCCCGCAGCTCCCACATGGTGCTGCGCCATGCCCCCAGCCTCTCCAAGCTCTGCCTGATGAGCATGGGCAAGCTGGAGGCTGAGGCGGGTGGGTGTCTTGGGGTGGTGGGTGTCTTGGGGGGGAAGGGGGGGGGGGCAGGCCCGAACATGTTGCAGCGGAATGCATGCGTGTGCGCCATGTGCGCCTTGGCTTGACTTGCCCCGGAGAGCTGCGGCCGGGGGTCCCCTGTTGCACCGCGGCAGCAGCGGGGCCACTTCCCCCTCCCTGACAAGCTGCCCCCGACCTGGCTGCTGGATCAAGTAGCCTGCCTGCCTGCCGCGCCGCCGCCGCCGCCGCTGTATGCCTCTGCTGCAGCGGTGAGCACGGAGTCTGACGTGGCGGCGGTGGTGGCCTCCCTGCGGGACCACCCTTCGCTCAAGCAGGTGCTGCTGCCTTCGCTGGATGGACACAGGAGGTGCGTGGGCGCCTGGCCTGGGGCTGACCTATGGCGCCTGGGGAGGTGGGGTGGCTCCTGGGGAGGTGGAGGGATGGCGGGATTTGCCGGGCGGGGGAGCCTTCAGCCGGCCAGCCAGCCAGCCGGGCGCCGCCGCTGCCGCTGCCGCGCCTCTCTGCCATGGCGGCCGGGCATGTGCTCAGCGTGCTGCGCGCTGCCGAAGCCGCTCGCCAGTCCGCCCTCCCTCCGGCCCACCCACCAAGCCATACTGAGAAGCAAGCAGGCACACACCATCTCCCTTCACCTCTCCACCATCCCTCCACCATCCCTTCCACCTCACCCACCCTCTCCCCCACACACACCCTCTCCCGCGCCCGCAGCCAGCTGTACATCGCCGCCCTCAACGTCCTCATCGGCATCTCCCGCTCGCCCCGCCTGGAGGTGCGGGCGGTGACCTACCACGGCATCTGCAACGAATGGCTGGACTGGCTGCGGGAGCAGGACGCGGCGGAGGCGCGGCGCTAGGCTGCAGTCTGCTGGGCGGGGGACGCTGGTGGTGGTGGCCGGGCCGGCGGCGGCGAGGGAGGCCGGCAGCCGGGCGCGGCGATCCGTGCGGCCGCCGTCTTCGGAGCGGCCTGCTTCCTTCTGCAAGGAGCGTGAAGGGGCGTATCTACCTGGTGGAACAGGTGTTCCATCCTCCCATGACCACGCTTTCGGGGCACCAGCACGCAGTGTCGTTTTGCCCTTTGCTGCCCCGACGCTGTAAGCAGCGATCGAGAAGCGCGCACCCAGTAGCATCCGGCGCACCGCAGCAAGTGGTCGCGCTTGTGCAGTTGCCTGGCCTCCACATGGACTGGCCATGCCGCTGCTGGCGGCAGCCTCCACCTCCACTGGCACCTCCTCCTGCCACGATGCCAGGAGCTTCCGGGCCACATCTGTTGCCGTTGCACTGGCCGCCGCCTGCAGTCTGACACTGACGGACAGCCAGGGCAAGGTGTCCTCTGGCTCTTGCCACATGCTGGATGCAATGGCACATGTGGATGGCACCCAGGCATACAACAAGCTGACCTACGGGCACAGAATCGCGGCCCCAAAACCGCCGCCGACCGCGGCCGCCGAAAGCCGCGGCCCGCCGAGGCCGAAACCGCCCCACCCCCACCCGCCCCACCCGCGCCCGCCGAGGCCACATGGCCACGTGGCCGCCACCGCAGCCAAAATGATGGGAGTGGCACGGCTGCAGCCGGCAGCACGCGGCTTGCTTGCGGCAGCGGCGCGGCCGTGAACCAGTGCCCGCCCGCATTCCGATCGTGTGCTTTGATCACCTGCATGGACAGGCTTGGCCTCGACGGCATGCTGCCACCTCCAGTGCGGGGCGCTGCTGGCCGCCTCGGCGTGCAATTGAGATGGACACGGCTGTGCACCCCCCTTCCATCCCCATGTTTCGCCTCCTGTGTCGGCTGTGTTCCACATGTTTTAGCACGGCCTCAGTGGAAACACCCATGCAAGTGCCGAAGCCCGGTGGGCCAGGGGGGAGGATGGGGGGCGGAGGCGGCGCAGATGAGCTGGCGGCCCTGTCTGGCTGTGACAGAGGTGCCGGCTCGAGCCACGCCCTCCAGACGGAGCGTTGCTTCTTTCGCGAGACCGCAGCCTGATCCCCGCTGTTCACACCAAGCCCAGCCGGCCTGTTAGCTGTAGCGGCTGTACCCAGCTTCCGCAGCACAGATGCGAACGATGCTGCCTGGCCGCTGCGTCCATCATTACCAGGCCTGCTGAATACAGGCAAGGCGGCAAGCAACCTGCTTGCTCTAGTACGCGGCATCCGCGGGCACCAGGGCCTGGGTGGGCTGCTGGGGCGCGGCACGCTTCACCCACGCCGTCTGCATGCCCGGTGGGACAGGCGCAGGCGCCGCCGATTTGTGCCGCGGAGGGTCAGCTTCTGCTGCGCCGCCACCTGCCGCCGGGTGCGGGCACACAACGTTCCCCTCGCCGACCACCCAGCGCTGCTGTCGCTGGTGCTGCGCATGCTTGCTGCGGTGCAGGCCCGATGGCAGGCACCGGCCCGCGGCCCGCGGCGGCCTGGCTGCTTCTGCTGGCGGCAGCCTGTGCCCAGGCAGCGCCCGCGCCTGCCCGCACCCAGCTGCCGGTCTTGCAGACCTTCTCAGGTACAGCAGGGGCGCAATGCACCCGCCTTGGCACCCACTGGGTGTCCCTTCTGCGTGATGCGATGCCGCTTACAGCAGCTGGGCAGCTGGGGAGGTGCCACGAAGCAGAGAGGGGCTGCCGCCTGCGCGCGCCGCTCTTCGTGCCAGCACCCGCCATCCCCGCTTTGCCCCCTGCCGGCGCCACGTGCCTGCCCCCGTCACCCCCCCAGCCACCTGCCCCGCCCCTGCAGGCCAGCTGAAGCTGTCTGCGGGGCACGAGGGCGGCGGCGAGGAGAGCGAGGAGGCGGTGGTGGTCGTGGCGCGACCCGGGGCTGCTGCCTTGTACCTGCAGATCGCCAACCTGCAGCAGCTGTCCCCCTTCCCTGAGGGATGGGGCACCGACGCAGCCGTGCAAGTGACGGGCAGCATGTGAGTTTTGGCAGCGCTGTATGAGGGAGCAGTACAGCGCGTGAGCGGAGCATGGGGCCGCCGTCGGTTGCGCGTCTGCCTGCGGCGGCGGCCGCCTGGAGGCACGACGGCACGCCCGCTGCCCCTCCTCCTGCCTTCCAGCCGCTCCGCTGCTGCTGCCGCTGCTGCTTCCGCGCCGCCGTTGCACTGTCCCCCTTCAGCGCCGCTAATCATCCCACAATCCCATCAGCCCAAACACCCGCCCGCCTTCTTTCCTGCCTGCAGAGTGATGGCGCACTCCCCTCTGGACTTGCTGTTCCGCGTGAGCCAGGCGGAGGTGCTGCAGCCGGCCCCCAACGCCGCGGCGCAGCTCCTGGAGCGCCTGCGCGTCGCGCAGCGGCGCGCGGGCGGCGGCCCCGCCGCCGCCGCCGCCGCTGCTGTTGTTTCGCCCGCGGCGGCGGTCAAGCCTGGGCTGAGGATCTTGGCGCTGAGGGCCAGGTTCCCCGCTAGCGGCAGCTGCACCCTCGCCAACCCCAACCTGGCTCGGCAGAGCTCCATGAACACCACAGTGAGCCTGGGCCCATGGGCAACTGATGTGGTCTACTACTGCTGATGCTGATGTGGTCCCGCCTGGGCTCAGTCCTGCTGCCCTCGTCGGCCGCCGGCGTCCTGCTGCTCTGGCCGGCCGCCATGCCCACCTTTGCTGCCCTCGTCAGCTGCCCCTGCCCCGCTGCTGCTCTCGTCAGCCGTCCAGCGGGCGGGCTCTCGCCAGCGGCCCTGGTCCTGCCTGGTCCTGCCCATCACCGCCTTTTGGCCCCCTCTTTGTGCCCGCCCCTGCCCCGCCTGTCTGCCATGCTGTGTGCCGCGGCCGTCGCCCTGCCGCTTCCAAGCTGCGGCACTGCCTGCCGCGCTCGCCCCCTGCCCCAGCCCGCCGCCCCAAACCTTCCGCCCAACCCGCCTCCCTCGCCCCCGCCACCGCCACGAACCCGCAGATGTGGCTGTCTGTGATCAACCAGACCAACAACCTGCTGACCCCTTGTACCTTTGGGAGGGTCACTGTGGACTTGGCCGGCTCCGCCGTCACCCCCCACATAGACCTCACCTGCGCCACGGCAAACCTGAACACGTGAGTGTGTCTCATGCATGCGCCAGGCCACGGCATTCGTGTGGGGGCGTGTGTGCTGCGTGGGCGGAGTGGGCGCAGGCGTGCATGTGCTGCCTGTGCGTGCTGCCACCGCTCCAGCTGGGCATGCGCGAGCCCCCGCCAAGCTGTGCATGCAAACCCAGCCGTTGTGCCAGCTCGGTCGCCAGCCAGCTTCCCTTGCTTCACCTCCTCATGAGTAGTCGCCCTAGCATGTGCCGCACTTTCTTCTGCTCCGTCATGCCCCGTCGTGCCCCTCACCTCCCCGCCAGCCCGCCCACCACCACCCCACGCGCGCACACCCCCCTTGCGCCCCCACCCCACCATGCACCTCCGCAGCTGCCTGGTGTCCACACGCGGCGCATGGACGGATGCCATGCTGGCGGGGGCGGAAGCCCTGGGCTACAACACCTCCTCCTACGACGTGCGCTCCTTCGACATGCCCTACTCAGGTAGCTCCCCGGAAGCTGCGGTATCATAAAAAATGTGTGCGGTACAACGAGCCGGTGCGGCCTGCGCCGGCACGGCCGCGCAGCCGTGAGGCCCCGCTCCGTGCTGAGGAGCTAAGCTGCTGCTGCGGGCCCTTCCCCGCGGGGCCCGGCTGCGCCCTGCCGGCTGCCTCAGCCCATGGCCAAGGCTTCACAAGCAGCCATGCTGTCTTTCTTGCTTTCTGTGTCCCCTGCGCAGGCAGTACCGCACGTACCGCACAGTGCCCCGGCGGCTTCTACGGCCTGGGAGAGCTAGGTGCGCGGGTGGCGGTGTGTGGTTTGGGGGTCTTGCTTTGCTCCAATCAGCTAGTGGAAGCGGAGCTTGGGAGAGGGACAGGGAGGAGGCATGTGGGGCAAGGGCCCTGGCATGAAATGCATGCCATATCCGCTCCACTTCCACGCTGCGCACGGCGGCGGGACGCTCTGCTGCGTGGGCGCTCTGCCAACGGCGGCGCCCTCATGGCCTGGTCACATGCATACAATACATGCAGTACAATGCATTCTTTCCTCCCTGCCCTGCAGGCGGATCCAAGACGTGGTTCAACTCGCCAAACGGCGTGACGGCGCCCACCCTCACCCACGAGGCGAGTCGCCAGCCGCCGAGTACGCACCCAGCTGCTCTGCTGCTGGCCAGGAGGCCGGCCAGCGGCATGCCAGGCGCCTGCCGGCCACTCGCCAGTGCGCCTGCAGCGGCGCCCACGCTGCCCCTGCTGCCGGGCTATCTACCCTACCCTGCTCATCCATTGCTTTGCTCGTTAGCTCCACCGCATGCGCGCACACCCACACACAGATCGGGCACACGCTGGGGCTGGGCCACGCCTCCGCAATGGAGCTGGACGAGATACTGGACGGGGTCACCATGCCCGATAACTGTGAGCGGCGGCTGCGGCGGCTGCGGCGGCTGGTGCAGCTCTGGGGCAGCTCTGGGGCTGCCTGTCGGGCCCTGCTGACGGCCAGGGCTTGGGGCCAGGGCCGGGCGCCGTAGCGTGTGGACGTGCTTCCCCTGCCGGCTCCCGTGCCACCCCCCAGCCCACCACCTCCCCGCACGCGGCGGCGGCGGCAACACTCGCCTGCCTGCGTGTGTTTGCTTGTGTGCCCGTCAGTGCAGCCCCTGCCCCTCCTTACACCCTCGGTCCCTGCTAAATGGTTCCACCTCTTTCCACCTCCTCCCCGCTCGCTTCCCTTACCCCGACCGCCTGGCCCGTTACCCCGCCCGCAGACGGGGACAGCGCCAGCCTCATGGGCTCCGGCGCCGTGTGCTTCAACTTTCCACACAGGGTCATGATTATGGGGGACCTCTTTGTGCCCACCCCCCTGGCCGCTGCCTCGCTGGTGCCTGGGGAGGTCAAGGCTTATACGATGGTGCACGAGTTCTCTGCCACATCCAAGCTGGGCAACGCCTCGGAAGTGGTGCGCGGGGCCGGCGGGGCTGGCAGACGGGAAGGGGCTGGGTGTCTGCCCGCAAGAGCACCTCCTCCTCCTGCCGCTGCTGCTGCGGATGCCGCCACTGCTGATGCCGCTGCTATTGCTGCTGCGGCAGCTGCTGCTGCTGCGGGTGCCACGTGCCTCGCCCCGGCTGCCGCCGCTCGTCGCGCTGTGCCTCCCCACCTCCCCGCCCCATCCTGCTGACCCCCGCCTGCTCTCCCTGCCCCCTGACCCTCTCTCTGCTCCCTGCCCGCTCTCCCTCATCCTCCCCGGCAGGCGCTGCGCTTTGACATGGCAACCTTCAACGCTTCCTATGAGGGCCGCTTCCTGTGGGTCACTTACTTCACTAATGCCTACAGCGCGGTGAGGCAACCCCCCTTGCTTGCTCACCGCCCCTGGTCTGGCCTGGCCGGATTGCCTGCCGGCCTGCCAGCCGCCGGCGGCGCGCCCCTTTGGCCGGACGGCTCTCGAGCCCTGCTGCAGCGCATGCGCCGGCCGCCGGCCAGCACACCAGTGGGCCCACCTATCGCGCCCCGCCACACAACCACTCGCTTCCGCCTGGCATGCCCTCCGATCCACCAGGCTTGCCCCATTAACAGAAAGCAAGCCCCCGCCCCCTGTCCCCGCAGGTACTGCCGCAGTACAACGAGGCCCTCATCCTGCGCCACACTCAGGACTTTGGCGCGGTACGCATGACCTGGAACGTGGACCTGCTGCCAGCGGGCGCCGTGTTCGCCTACGTGAGCCTCCCTGGAAGCATGCGAGTCGCCTGAGCCTCTGCTCTCTTGCCTTTCGTTCTCCTATCTGTATTGAGCCTGCTGCATGTTGGAGCTGCCTGAGCCTCTGCTCCTGCCTTTCCTTCTCCTTTGCTTTCTTGTGGCGCCCGCCTGCCTGCGCCGCCCGCTGTGCCGGCTCACTTCTGAGGCTGTGCCCAGGGGGAGGACCGGCACCCTGCCCCCTGAATGAATCGTGTGTGGCTTGGTTTGAGCCCCTCCTGGTGCCGTGCCTCCCCGCCCGCTCCCCACCCCCTGCAGCCGGGCACCAGCCTCCAGATCAAGCTGGCAGCCGGGGGTAGCAGCGGTACCGCCCACGTCTGTACCTCGGACGCCCTCTCGACCTGCAGTGAGTGGCGGCGCCAGGCCGAGCCCTAACTGCCCGCTGCA